TTAATCAAAATGTGTTAAATGACTTTATATTTATGATGATAATAGAACATGATCTCCTAGACTTTTTTTGTAGAATGTAAGAGATTTAAAGAGTTGATACAATGTTTGCATCCTGATGTTAAGATACCTTTTAGGTGTGTTGCCACATCAAATGTGAATAAAATGTATGATAATGGAAAGAAAAAATTGAAACACATCTTATATAAACTTCTTGGTAGAATAAACTTGCCTTTAGATGTGTGGACTTCTTGTACTATAGATGATTATATTTCATTGATTGCACACTTGTTGATCAAAATTGGAAGTTGAATAGCAAATTTCTTAATTTCTCTCATTCCCTTCCTCCACATTCTCGACATGAAATGACTAAAATTATACATGGTTTGTTGGAATATTGGGGGATTGAACGAAAAATATTTTCATTAACTTTAAATAATGTTTCTTCTAATAACAAAATGTAAGACTATTTGAAGGAAATACTTCTTTTGCAAAATGATGGTTTATTATACTATGGTGATATTTTTCATATTCGATATATTGCTCACATTTTAAACCTTATAGTTCAAGAGGGTTGAAAGTTGTTGGTCAAGCTATTCATAAACTTAGATAAAGCATCAAGTATGTTAAGGGGTTAGAGGAAAGAATGAGGTTCTTTAAAGCTTACATCGCTAAAGTTGGTTATATTAATATAAATATAAGTTTGCATTTAGATATTGTTACTAGGTGGATTTATATCTTTTTGATGCTCGAGAGTGCACTTTTGTATTGATGTACTTTTACTAGTCTTACATTTGAAGATATAAGCTATTTAAATTGTTTTACTAAAGAAGAATGGGATACATGAGAAAAAATGTGTGAATTTTTGTGTTCATTCTCTTAATTATTTGAAAAAATGAATGAAAAAATTTACATATTATAACATAAAAACGTCTTCAAAATAATCAAAATGATATATACATATTAATTATTAACCAAAAAAAAATAATAATAATATAAATTAATTGATTTGATTTAGGTTGGTTCGGATTAATAGCAACATGCAACAACAATTAAGATCATCTACCAACTTTTCACCTTTATAACTCAAAACATCAAAACTCAACCTTTCCATTATTCAATATGAAAATCTACCAACCCAATCACATTTGATGGGATTCAAACACATGTAACTCATACAACTCATCAAGGATAGGTTTCTAGCTTCCCTTACCTCCAAAAATCTCCAAATCTAAGTAGAAGAGGAAGGAGGGAAAAGATGGTTTTGAGCTTCATCGAGAGCTCTACACAGCTTAACTCACTTGATTCATGATTCTATTGACTTGTATAAACAAACACAACCAAAAATCAAGACTTTGGGGGAAGAATCACTCTCTCAAGAGGAAGTTCAAAGAAAAAGAGAACTCACGGGCCTAGAGCCTTCTCCCTAGCTTATCTCTTTAAGGTTATGAAGAATTGAACTTATGAGAGTCAATTCTTAATAGGAACCTTATATATTTCCCCTTAGTGTTAAACTGAACCTCTGCTCAGGTAAATCTTCTAAAACACCTAAAGACTCCTCAAGAGTTCCTTAACTCTGAGAGTCCCTTAACCACACCTCAAAACACTACACACCACATAATTATTGATAAAAATATAATAATTAATGGAAACTTACAGTGTTACACTTATGATTTGAAATAAATCCTAGGGAGGAAAAAGTATTGTGACGGGAACTAGATTAAGCAAATGGCGCATTGGTTGATTATGTTGCATATGGTGTGTGTTTAGGTGTGTTTATATGTATTTTTGATGTCTTACGTGACATGGTTTGGATGTCATACATGTTTGCTTGAAGTGTTGTAGCTTTCATGTATGCTTGTGGTGTGATATAGTATATTATATGATTGTTTTCTATATATATACATGTTTTTAGACTCTAACTTACCCTTTATATTTTCATGGTAGTTTGGAATGCGATGATCATACGTTGTATAATAGCATATCAAGATTAGGTATGAGGAGTTGTTATTGGTAGGGCGTGATTTTTTTGTTGATGGTAGTGCTACTACATGTAGTTTGTATAGTCGTGTACACACACACACGCACACACACACGCACACACACACGCACACACACACACACACACACACACAGACACACACACACACGCGCGCACACACACACACAATATATATATATGTGTGTATGTATGTATGTGTGTATGGTACACACACACACAATATATATGTGTGTATGTATGTATGTATGTATGTATGGTGCATTTTTTTTCCTTTAATCTTGTATATGTATGTATGGTGCATTTTTTTTCCTTTAATCTTGTATGTCTAGTAATTTAATTTTTGATTTTAGTAATAATGATTTCATTCAGGGTACACACACACAATATATATATATATGTGTGTGTATGTATGTATGTATGATGCATTTTTTTTCCTTTAATCTTGTATATGTATGTATGGTGCATTTTTTTTCCTTTAATCTTGTATGTCTAGTAATTTAATTTTCGATTTTAGTAATAATGATTTCATTCAGGGTGGTGACCATAAATATATGGTGCATTACATAAATAAATCTCTATATTGCATGGGAGTGTATTTAGAATTTTTTAAACTCATTATCTAATTCAATTTTTATTTATCATAATTATTTTAGAATTAAATTTTAGTATTTTTAAAATATATTATTAATAAAAAAATAATATTATACTATAATATAAATTATTTATCATAAATCTAGATTTGAAATAAATCCTAGGGAGGAAAAAGTATTGTGACGGGAACTAGATTAAGCAAATGGCGCATTGGTTGATTATGTTGCATATGGTGTGTGTTTAGGTGTGTTTATATGTATTTTTGATGTCTTACGTGACATGGTTTGGATGTCATACATGTTTGCTTGAAGTGTTGTAGCTTTCATGTATGCTTGTGGTGTGATATAGTATATTATATGATTGTTTTCTATATATATACATGTTTTTAGACTCTAACTTACCCTTTATATTTTCATGGTAGTTTGGAATGCGATGATCATACGTTGTATAATAGCATATCAAGATTAGGTATGAGGAGTTGTTATTGGTAGGGCGTGATTTTTTTGTTGATGGTAGTGCTACTACATGTAGTTTGTATAGTCGTGTACACACACACACGCACACACACACGCACACACACACGCACACACACACACACACACACACACAGACACACACACACACGCGCGCACACACACACACAATATATATATATGTGTGTATGTATGTATGTGTGTATGGTACACACACACACAATATATATGTGTGTATGTATGTATGTATGTATGTATGGTGCATTTTTTTTCCTTTAATCTTGTATATGTATGTATGGTGCATTTTTTTTCCTTTAATCTTGTATGTCTAGTAATTTAATTTTTGATTTTAGTAATAATGATTTCATTCAGGGTACACACACACAATATATATATATATGTGTGTGTATGTATGTATGTATGATGCATTTTTTTTCCTTTAATCTTGTATATGTATGTATGGTGCATTTTTTTTCCTTTAATCTTGTATGTCTAGTAATTTAATTTTCGATTTTAGTAATAATGATTTCATTCAGGGTACACACACACAATATATATATATATGTGTGTGTATGTATGTATGTATGATGCATTTTTTTTCCTTTAATCTTGTATATGTATGTATGGTGCATTTTTTTTCCTTTAATCTTGTATGTCTAGTAATTTAATTTTTGATTTTAGTAATAATGATTTCATTCAGGGTACACACACACAATATATATATATATGTGTGTGTATGTATGTATGTATGATGCATTTTTTTTCCTTTAATCTTGTATATGTATGTATGGTGCATTTTTTTTCCTTTAATCTTGTATGTCTAGTAATTTAATTTTTGATTTTAGTAATAATGATTTCATTCAGGGTACACACACACAATATATATATATATGTGTGTGTATGTATGTATGTATGATGCATTTTTTTTCCTTTAATCTTGTATATGTATGTATGGTGCATTTTTTTTCCTTTAATCTTGTATGTCTAGTAATTTAATTTTTGATTTTAGTAATAATGATTTCATTCAGGGTACACACACACAATATATATATATATGTGTGTGTATGTATGTATGTATGATGCATTTTTTTTCCTTTAATCTTGTATATGTATGTATGGTGCATTTTTTTTCCTTTAATCTTGTATGTCTAGTAATTTAATTTTTGATTTTAGTAATGTGACGGGAACTAGATTAAGCAAATGGCGCATTGGTTGATTATGTTGCATATGGTGTGTGTTTAGGTGTGTTTATATGTATTTTTGATGTCTTACGTGACATGGTTTGGATGTCATACATATTTTACCTTTGTATTTATAAAAAAATAAAAATAAAATAGTCTCTTGATGTAAAATTTTGTTCATGTCAATATAGGTATGTTAATCAAGTTAACTCTAATTATTTTGACGAAAATAGAAGAACCCATTTTAAACCATTAAATGCCTAAAATCTGCTGGCAATTCACGACTCACCTAACGTATCCATGGTGTAAAAAAAAAAAAATAATAATAAAAACTTATCCAAATATTCTTGACATATAATAAAAAAGTTATTTTAATTAAAAAACAATTAAAAAAATTCTCATTCAGAATAATTATTACCATTTATATATGAGGAGAATGTCCTTATTTGAATTTAATTTTTTAATATATTTTTGAATTGTTGTTTTACCTAATTAAAAATAAAGATGTGAAACCTAAAAATTAATCATTGCTAAAATTTATTTATTTTTAATATATTATTAATTTTACTGATAAAATGTGAAACATAATTAACCTATAAAAGTTTTATATAAAAGTATTACGTGTATTTTTTAATTTTTACCTTTTTTATTCCTTATTTATAGAAATATATATCATTTCCTAAACACATTTTTTGAAATGACGTAAAAGTGACTTTTGCTTTCTTTCTATATTTACAGAATATTTAATCCAATTTTTATTTATTTATTTTTCACACCAAGTTTTGGATTGGTTCAACTTGGAAGAAGACGACGTGGTGTCTGGTCAGGTACCACTTCAATTCTCAACAACTAATCCCTTTTTTTTTTTTTTTTTTTTTTTTTTTTTGGCCACTGAGAAATTTTTTCAACTATTTTCCGTTCGGATTTTCGCCACTTTCCGTAGTGACTTCGAAAAACGTCACAATTCAGAATCGCCGTTTCGCTGATGGTGTTTTCTGTGCTTTCAAACTGAGAGTGAGTTCAATCTCCCTAAGAAAGTCTCCAAGGTGTGAATTCGCGGTAATTGTTCGCAACAGGAATATGTGAGTGTTACTGTGTTTGCATTTGGTTGCTCCATTACACAAACCTGTTGTTGTGTGAGGGTGAGGATGTTGTTGTTTTATAATGTGGACACATCGGTGATGTTTACTTTGGGATTCTGTGTTGTTGTGTGAAAATCAAATCATCTTGTTTGAACATTATTGAATTTTCAGATTGAGGAGTGTCAGAACCACGCTCTCTAATTCACTTGTTTTAACACATTCTCTGCCATTGATTATATCTTTTTGAAAATTATGAAATCACGAGTGGGATTTATTGGATACGAATCACAAGTGAGACCTATAAGCTTTTGTTATTCCTAGTAAATTTCAACCAATAATTTTGAGTTCTCTTTTTTATCCTTGAGAATCGAACTCGATATCAAGGGAGTTTACAGCAGCTCAGTTATGTTGCTCAATAGCTAGACCCCTTGTTTTTGTAGTGTGGTTAAAATAGTGATCAATGTAAAAAACTTACACTAGAAATGGATATAACAACTTAAGCAAAGTCTTGTAGAACAAAATAATTAGTTATATATGAGTTTGTGAAACCTTTATTTTAGAATAATGCAAACAAAAGTAAATAGCTAAATAGAGTATATACATTGAATGAGTGAGTGAGTGACAACTCTAGTAATGGAATAATAAATAAGATAAGTTCAAAAGTGTTCTTTCAATTCCTTTTCATTTAACAATTTAAGCTGATATGACTTCTCAAATTTTTCATGAGAATTGGTGAAAGAAAGGTCGAAAAAGAAAAAAAAATGGATTGTTGAATCGTATGGATCATGTCGATAATACGAAACTGTATAGATTCATCCATATATTGTAAGATATAAAGTCATTTAGATTTATCTCATGATATGTATTGGTAGGTTGCTGAATTGTATTAAATCGTGAATTGTAAGATTCTGAAAACTATGATCCCCGCTTCAATGCTACTCTCTAGATGTAGGTACTTGATATTGTATTTTGTTTGAATTCCTTTCACAAATATACCCTTTTCTCAGCATGAATTGACCTGCAACTAAATGGCTCATTTACGTAAATGATCCCTTCTTTGAGTGCTCAGTATCACCTGTCTACTAGGACCATTTTGAACTGTCATAGGATTTTTTTTAAAAGAACCACATAAACTTAAAAAAAAAAAAAAATTAATTTTTTATTTTTTATTATTATTTTTTTACTTTAAATGCAATAAAATAAGGATTTGATGCAAAAACATGGCGTATGGGGGAAGTTGAGTTACTTGAGTAGATATAGCTGTTAACGCTTACCACTTTCTTATGCATTGCCTGCTTTGTTCTCTCTGCAATCTGACTATGTTTCTTGCCTGCTTTATTTTTTTGTTTATTGAATGAAGCTTCTATTTCGTGACCTGCTGAGGATGGGGGTGGAATTGTATGTTTTGTTGAGATTGTATATTGATGTTAAAGAATAATAACAAAACTATGTTCTGTATGTAACTAGGTCATAATTGTGGAAATTGTGAAACTTTACCTTTAGCTTTTTGTGTCACACATGGGAAAGAAATAGGGAGAGGGGATAAAATGACCTTTTTTTATTTACGTTTTTTTTGGTAGAACAGCTTTCATTTTCATATTTATTTTCACTGACATATGACATCTGTCAAAAGCAGTCCAAGTTCCTTAATGGAGAGTTCTGAAGAGGAGAATGAAGGAGTCTCTGGTAATCATGTTCCTAAGGAACTGCGTCCTTTAGCATCTGATGGTGTGAAATTTATAGATGAAGTACTCGATGGTCAAAATGAACGTTGTCTAGAGAAGTTCCGCATGGATAAGCATGTATTCTACAAATTGTGTGATATACTGCAAGCCAAGGGTTTATTGCGTCACACAAATCGAGTCAAAATTGAGGAGCAACTGGCCATATTTATGTTCATTATTGGGCATAATCTACGGACAAGAGCTGTTCAAGAGTTATTTCACTTATCTGGAGAAACCATTAGCCGTCACTTTAACAATGTTTTGAATGCTATAATGTCAATTTCACTAGATTTCTTTCAGCCTCCTGGCCCTGGTGTTCCTTCAGAAATATTTGAAGATTCTAGATTCTATCCATATTTTAAAGTAAGAAGGCTAAAAATGAATTTTATTACTATCTTGTATGTGTTGATTCCATCTAACTTTTTGAATATTCCTTAATAGGATTGTGTGGGAGCAATTGATGGTATACATGTACCAGTTACTGTTGGTGTAGATGAGCAAGGACCTTTCCGCAATAAGAATGGTTTACTTTCACAGAATATTCTGGCAGCTTGCTCATTTGACCTCAAGTTCCATTATGTTTTGGCTGGATGGGAAGGATCTGCTACAGACTTACAAATTTTTAATTCAGCAATCACAAGGGGGAATAAATTGCACGTACCTGAAGGTAAAATATTTATCTGAAGGTAAATATTTATTTGTAAAATGCAATTATGATTTGGGTGGTAATACTGTTGGAATTCTTTCTCTTGACAATTGACATCAACTTTTAAGCTCTAACTCTATAAGTAAAAGTGATTATTTGTATGATATGATTGGAAGAACTAAACTTTTGTGCTAAGTTCATATCAAATTTCATTCTTGTACCAAAAGTTTTGTTTGTTTTAACTTTGTCCTAAATAAATGAGACCAAAAAGTTGAAATGTATTTTGGCCAACTCTGTCAACTGGCTAAGAATTTTCTTCTTCTTTTATGTTTTTTTTGGATAAAACTAGTTAATTAAAATTCATTATATATTGCCTATGTAGCAATCCCCTAAAATCTAACTCTTGTTATGGAAAAAAATCACTTCAAATTCCAATTTTTTTTGGGTTCATTATTATGAAATTTCGCATGGTATGATTCATTACTTCTTACTGAGAAAGAAATTTTAAAAGCAAAAGTCTCTTTGTTTTCGTCTCTATTTTGTTTCTCTGACTTCTTGCACTGTTTGTACTAGATTATTCCTTCTCCCCCCAAAAGTGGAGATGCAATTCCCCACCATGAAAATACTAGGCATCAATCTTCAAACTTAATGATATTTCTGCTCAATTTTCCAATTACTCTGGATATTTATCCCTCAAGCTTCTTCAGTCCATTTCTTGCACCCTCTGTGAATCTTTTTGGCTCATTGTTAGCCCCTATAGTTGTCTCTGTCTTTGGCAAAACTCAATTGGAAGTGAGATGATACTGGAGCTGAGCTAAGCTGCCTAGTCAATGAAATTCACCATGGCTCATTTTTGGTTTTTCAGAATTTTATGTTCTCTCTACAAATGTCCATTCATTTGGTTTGAAAAGTAAAAAAAAAAAGAAGAAAAAAGAGCATAGTGCATTTGGTCGGAAGGGAATGAAAGGAGGAGAGTTTATTTTAAATTTTACCTTGTTTTATTCAAAAATTTGGAGGGGAGGGGAAATGAGGGGCCAAAATCCCTCTTCTCCTATTTTTGGACTATTAACTAAATTGCCCTCCTCCCATCCCCTGCTTTAATATTTATAAAGATATAACGGTAGTATTATTTATATTTTCCCTCCCCTCCCTGGCTGGCAAACAAGGGGACCTCAACCTTCCCTCCTCTTCCCTGTCCTTATCTTTATCCAACAAAAGAAGGGACTCTCTTCTCTCCTTTTCTCTTTTGAACTAAACACACCCAGGAATTTTTTACTACCTATCCTTTAACTGCATTATTTTTTTATTTTTATTTTATGTTACTGCATTAAATTGAAGTTAATCAAGATAGTACATTTTTCATTATTTAGCTGATGTCAACTTTTATTTAGTGGTATTTGTGAGAGATTGATAGTTAGGACTTCGGAGATGACAATGCCAAATGCCACCTTAGGTGATTGGTGACATATTTCTATTTTGAAGTAGTAACTAAAGGAAAATATTTCAGCTTCCTTTCTAGTATTCAAGACTTTACTGATGCAAGTAAAACTTGTACAACGAAAAAATGAAACTTGATTCGAACTTGAAGGAAATGATTGATTATTCCCTACGATTAACCACACGCTTATATGTTATAATGTTTGCTTCAAATATTAGATTGAAACACTCGCTTATGATACAGGTAAATACTACATAGTAGACAGCAAGTATCCAAATGTGCCAGGTTTCGTTGCCCCATATTCAAGTACTCCCTACTACTCCAAGGAATTTCCCAACGATTACCACCCACAAAATGCAACTGAACTGTTCAATCAACGACACTCATTATTAAGAAATGTCACTGATAGAACTTTTGGGGCCTTAAAGGCACGATTCCCTATATTGATGTCTGCTCCATCTTACCCATTACAAACACAAGTGAAGTTAGTGGTGGCAGCATGTGTATTACACAATTACATTCGCAGGGAGAAACCAGATGATTGGATTTTCAAGATGTATGAAAACGCCTCATTTCCAATGGAGGAATCACAACCCCCACTAGAGATGGAAGTACCACCAAAGATGAATGTGGAGACCCAGACCCAGTCATCAGATCACACTTTTGATGCTGAAGAGATTGCATTTGCTTCACAGTTAAGGGACTCCATTACTACTGAAATGTGGAATGATTTTATCAATGATTTTGGCCGCATGTAAATTTCTTTAGTTAAGCATATAAGATTAGGTTAGGTTTGATTTTTTCTCAGGATCCAAGGTATGAGATGTTGTCAGTTTACATTGACATTTTGTTCATAAAACAGAAATATGCCTGTCGATCACATCTCATCATATAAATTTTTGCATTTAATTCTCGTAAGATGGATTATACGCTTCAACAATGGTAGATAAAAGAAAGTTAATTTTAATTATGGTTGGAGTATTTTCATTCAGATTTTCAATTGCAGAATTTTCTTTAAATAAGTTACCTTTTACTTTAAATTTTTGCAACTTTTATGATCCAAAATTCACAAAATTGTTTGGAAGGTGCTTCTTTGCTTTGTGTACATCCTCTTGTCACCCACCATGTGAGAGGTCTTGTGGGAAACCATCATATTAAATGTTCATACTATGGTTCAAGCCGAAAGAACATACAGTTGGTTCACAGGGTACTCAAATGTTCATGGGACCATACGATTACGGAATACACCGACATGAAGTGAAGGTACATACACAGAGAAGTGACTTGGCTTGAAAGGCGAAATATGTTGTTGTAATGTTATGTTCTCAAGAATAGGGGTGTGCAAAAAATCCAAATTGATCCGAACCGATCCATAACCGATCCGATCCATATTGAAAAATCCGATCCATTTTGAAAAAAAATCCGAACCGAACCACTTTATAAAATCGGTTCAGTTATCCAATCCATTTTTACAAAGTGGATCAGTTCGGTTCAGTTTGGTTTTCTAAAAAAACCGATTCATATACGAGTAAAAAAGTGGATAACTGCACCGCACCGAACCGATCCAATTTCAAAAAAACCGATCCATATTTTAAAAAAACCAAACTGATCCACTTTATAAAAAATGGATCGGTTAACCGATCCACTTTTATAAAACGGTTCGGTTCGGTTTGGATCGGTTTTTTCAAAAAACCGATCCATGAACACCCCTACTCAGGAATTTCTGGCACTTGATTTAGTGCATGTTTATTTGGTTTTACATCCAAAATCTCCGTTTAAAAGAATAATCACTTTAATTTTAACTTGCATCTGCGGGATCCTATGGCAACAAATATATTACCAAACAGACGGATATTATAGTATTTCTCATTTTCTTGTTGGATTTTTTCATTGCAAGGTGACAAGCCATGAATTTCAAAACATTTTCGATATGAAATTACCAATGCCAGTTCTATACAAACAACTCAACAGTGTTGCTAAAATTTATTTTCTATATTTTTTATACTTTCTTATAATGCCATTTTTTTTTCCACTCTAAGAAATTCAGTGAACTATTTATTTTTAATCTAACTCGGATTTTTTCTTAAATAGATCCCATGATATGTTGTACACCTTTATATTTTATTATTATTCATTTCTATTTCAGTTTAATGTTTCTATAGTCATTTTAAAATAAAAATTGAATAGATTGTAGTTGAATAGATTCTATTAAAAGTTAACATTTCTAACTTAATTTTTTTAAAAACTAATTCTTAAATTAAATATTTTTTCAGAACTAATTTCCATCAAAGTGTTTTTTAAGACGTTGCTATAAATATAGGAAGGAGAAACCAAACCTAAGACATTGCACTATTTTTTTTTAAATGGTACTTTAAAACTTAAAATAGTAATGTGTTTTCAAATTACAAAAGGCCTAAACCTTTCAAGAATGAATGAGCCATATTTGTGCCTGAAACTTTTCACATGAATCTCCAATCCCCCAATTGAACTGTAAAGTTAAAGATAACTCATATTCCACGTGAGATTAGTCTGAATTAAAGGGCCACATGAGTGTGAGGTGCTAAACCTCGTGCGCTATGTATAATGGCATACCCTTTTTCCCACTTTATGCAATCTTGTGATCTATGTTATATCTTAAGTACTATGTTGCCAATTCGACAATGTTAAACGAGTTATAAACAACTAACAACATCATAAGACCACTTCACAGGTGAATTTTATTTTATTTAATCTATTCTAGTTTAATCCCAAGGGTGTCTAACCAATGGCTGCATGGAGTTAATTGGGATGATGGTTCTAGAAGGTAATAACATTAAGATTTAATTTACCTTTTAGTTGGGGATATAGATAGATCATAAATATATACTACTAGTTGGGACATTACATCACGTTGGTGTCCCTTTCAAGCTAACTTTGGTTTAAATTGAAGATTTAAAGAATCATTTTCATGTAATTTACTTAGACTTTATGTTTGATTCCATGCCAAATGGATGGTTAGAAAGTTTGGAATGAAAACGAGTCCAAAATAACTTTTAGCTACTAAAAGAAATTGAATTACAATGTCTTTTTTTTTTTATATATAATGATTTTAATCTTGATATTATTAGTATAATTTTTTATACTATGAATATATTATAATTAAATTCTTTAGTATCCTCAAACAAATAACTTTTTTATATTTCATTCTATTTTTACTCTTAATTCTTCATTTTAGTTCCCACTTATTTAAACAAGAGTTATGATATAAAAACACCTTTATATACGAAGCTCTATGGATTTTATTTTTCTATATCATTTATTATATTTATATTTCTCTCACTTTTCCTCTCTAGATAATAAATAACATTTGGTGTACATTGATTATTTTCCGTTAAACCCTTGAGCTTTGTTACAACTTTCAAGCATCATTAGCTACCATACCTACTCCAATTCAAAGTCTTCAACTATTCTACAATAAATCTTAATGTGTTTTAATTATTGTACCTGATTAGTCTTGACATATTTTATTATAAATCAATGTTTTTTGTGGACAAAAGTTAATAGAGTTTAATATTTAATTGATCTCCTTAACCTTTTCCTAAAGCGTAGTATAGTGGTCCATATTATAATTCATTTTTTACAGCTTACAAACATCATTGGGTTATCTCTCTACTTCCATTGAAAACTATACAATATCCTACGAAAGATCTTAATCTTTCGATTATTATTTCTGGTTCATTTTCAACCTTTAATTATAGACAATTTTGGCTGGACAGAAGATCTAACGTTTCAGACTTTAATATTAAATTAATCTGCTTAACCATTTTTAGTGCATTTTTTTTCCTATTATGGGTATCTCCTAATTCACTTAGTCATAAACTAATGTTACTTGTAATACTGTGATCGTTGTTAGTCGAATAAATTTTTACATACGACAGAATAAGTGTCTAACCCTTGTGACAAATTCATCATGTTAAAATGTTTTCTATTCACCTAAGATTACTAAAGGATATTAAACTATATAAGAGAATAACTTAGATTTATAGGGAATCCCATAAAAAAAATTGATTTGTTTCTCCTTGTTATTTCACAAAGCCAGATAGTTTACTTAGAGTTTGCATCTTCAGCTCAGAAAAGCATCTCAAAATTGTCTGTAAGGAATTCATTTCCTCTATAAGAAATAGTCCTGCAAGAAATCACACGTAGGATACACATTTTCCTTTACCTCACACAGCTACCATACACTGCATTCAACTGTTCTGCACAAAAGAGTAAAGAAAAATTTGTTCTGAATCAGAGCAAAAGAAAACTTGAAAGACAATTACAATAATTGAGGCATCTTACCAATGCATTTTTGACTTTTCCCTCAATCTTTTATCAAATGTAACCCATATGAATCTAAATAAGTTGGGAGAGAGGGAGAAGGAAACTAAGCAATCAGAAAAAGCATTACTATATTACAAGATTGTATATTTAGTTCTTACTATATTACTATATTACTATATTTAGGTCTTAGTTTGAGTCATCATCAATTAGGAAATTCTGTAATGTCTTTTGTAACACTTGTTTCTATATAGATTGTATATTCTTGTTAATTACAAGATTATTGTTCTTAATCTCAATCCTGCTACCTAACTCTCTTTTACTTTGACTTCAAAGAACAGTCAAAATTGGAAGGAAAAAAAAAGTGGCAGTGAAGTTTTGCAGGCATTTAACCTTAACCCACCATTGATAGTGATAAACTGATAATCACCCAAAACAACAATCATTTCAAACATACCCCTTTCCTTTTTATTTGATCCCCAACATGCTTTTTCATCCATTCCTTATAGTGCACATAAACCAACAAATCTCAACCTCAACATATTCTTAGTTGCTATAATCTATTTTTCCCAAAAAACGCCAAAGCGAGTTTCTCAGTCGCAACACAACAATGTTGGATCCAGCCACTGAATTGGTGCCACCACCATCTTCACCCACTATTTCTTCCATTTCTTCCTCTGATCTTGACACTGAGGTATCATCAAATTCACATTCATTGATTCACATTCATACATACACACACTTTCAAATTTCTAAAAAAAAATTCCAATTTTTTCAACACCCCAGAATGTCAAATTTCTTTATTTTTACCTTATTCACGAGAAATTAATTAAAAGTTTTATTTTTTATTTTTGGGGTTTTGAATTCTAGTCCACCGGATCCTTCTTCCATGACAGAAGCACCACATTGGGGACTCTAATGGGAGTCAACTTCCCAACCATTGCATTCAGAGTCCCATCGCAGAACCGGAACCCTAATTCTGCCGCCGAGGCAGCCGGAGGCTCAAGGAGGATCGCCGCCGCAGCCAAGAAGAAGAAAAAGGCTACCTCCACCGTGACGGCGGCGGAGAGACGGCGGAGGTGGTGGCAGCTCTGCCGCGACGGCGATTCTAAGCCGGCTTCGCTGGGCGAGTTTCTGGAGGTGGAGCGGCGGTTCGGCGACGGCGCGTTCTACGGCACGGCGGCGGAGCTCGAGGGGATGGTCGCCGGCCACCAGCAGAGGAACGGCAGCAGGGTGCTATTCGCCGATGGGAGGGTTCTTCCGCCGCCGTCCGACGTCGACGACGGAGCTACGGCGGCGGAGAGTCTCTGCAATATGTTTCCGGTGTCTCTCGCCGGAATCTGCAGCGGCGGTGCGGCTTAGTGTTGCTATATAAAGCTTATTTTTATTTCTATTTTTTAATATTTATTTTTGGAGAAAGAAAGGAAAATTTTTGTGGTTTTATTTTTAATTTTATTAATTTTTTGGGGTTGTTTGGTTGTTAACTAATTGGAAGATTAGGATTCTTTTTGTCCGTGGTTTACATGCAAAACGCATGCTTTTGGCTTTTGGGCCTTTTACTTTTTTCTCTTTTTCTTCTGCTTTTGATAATTAGGGGTTATGGTGGTCCATGTCATAATTATATATTAATACATAGGCATTAGAGGGTGATTGGTCGTAATCATATGCTTCATTTACGCCAAAAAATCAAAATGATTAGAAGCAATGTGTTTTACAAACAGATTTTGGTTGTTGGTAAAATCAGTGTCCAAGTAAGTTTAGTAACTGAATAATTATATACTCATGAACATATATTTTTGTGTGTTACAAACAAAATGCTTTTGTTACTTTAATCTAATGAATCTATCATTAGCAAGTGTGTCATACAAATAAGAAATAACAAGATTTATTAGACATAAATTAAGTCTTTCACGTATTACTAGAGGAATTAAATATTGAAAAATAGTTACATTTAGCACATGAATATACCTATTGACAATCAGTGTCAATTCTTTACTAAAACCCTAAATCAAAAAATCATATTTCATACTGCACTTTTCTAGTTTCATTTTTGCATAAAACTAACACTTCACTCTTCAAGTGTATAGATCACAAGTCCAAAACTTACTTTGCAAGCATATTTCTACTTCAATTGCATCATTCTATTTTGATCCACCATTTTTGTCTACATTCTTTAATAAACTTGTTCTCTTTTCTGTCTTTAGCTTCCATTATTCCTCTCTCTTTCTCTCTTCCTCCCAGCAGTGGATTACTCACATTTTCTCCAGTCCCCACCATAATCACTCTCTTCCATTACTCCATTGCAGCGCAAACAAAGGGTCACACATCAACTCCAAACTGCAAATAACTTGTTGCAGCAACATCTCGATACACTTTAAGAACAAATTTTGGGTTCAAGTCCTTCCATACTATCTCTTGTATGCTCAACAACATCCCTTTTTCCGCAGTTCATTTTAGCTTCAGTTTCTCAAACAACTTCATTTTCCAACTTCCTCACTTGATCCTGGCCATTCCGCATATTCAAAGATAGCAAAGGAGAGTCTGCCAGAGAGAAAGCAGTATTAATTATTTCATTGAGAATAAACTGACAATAGGCATCTCCAATGACACACCAGATATTCATTAATATGCTTATACAGGTTATATTTTTTTTATACATACCGATCCAAATTGTTCCTCCAGCAACAAGAAAGTAAAGTTCATTAATTGGTGTAAATATGTACCAATAAGAATAAATTTTATATACATTCGTTATGTATCTTCTCCACCCATAGAAGCCATGACAAGATTGATTAAATAGAGGACAGCTAGATAAATCAAGGTAGAGGTCTAGAGGAAGACATAGGAAAACTTTTTAAGAGACTACACAAAAGCATACATGCTCAGTCAAATAACAGTACTACTTCCAATCCTAATTATAAACAACACAGAACAAATCATCAAGAGCAAGAAAAGTAATAAGTTGGTTATTTTTTATTAATTATACAATATATTCAAATTTTATTCCAAAAATATACTTTGCTTTTAAGTGGTTGTGTTATATTTAACGTTACTTATAACTTATAAGTAAATACATGCGGAATAGAGTTAACAAATAATTAAGGGTATAAAAAAAAACATATCCTCAAGTAATTTTAAAAACTAATGACTATTGCTTATAATTAAGGGGAAAAAAAGTTAATTTATTGCTTATAATTAGGACCAGAAGTAGAATGTTTTACTAAATTATACAAAAGGGCGGCTAATGCCCAGTTGGAACTGGTTTTTCTGTGATTACCTCTGACTTATGGATCCCATAAACCCAACCTTTAAACGAAGAAAGTGTCAAACGTGAGCTAGAAAAAACCAAGTTTTGCTTTGGGTCTTGAAGTTTGACACCTTGACTTTAAAAACTTCAATTATTTGTTCTAAAATAGTAATTAACCGGAAATAGCCCATAACATAAAAAAAATAAATCTGGCGATACTTAAAAATACTATAGAAGTTAAATTGAGAATTACCATTCTGGTAGTGTCACATCCTTAAGAACAAGATTCTGCCATTTCTGAATTTTGTTCCCATAGATTGTAATGCATTTAGAATTCAAAACCTAACAAGGTATGCTGCATATTTCCTGCAGTAAGAGAATCGGGCAAATTTAACTAAATAAAACACAAATATACAAAAGAAGCAATGGGTTGTGGTCTTGTGGGTATGCTGTATGTTTAGCAACAGGCACATCTCCTCCTCGGAAGACATTCGAGGGGTATTAAAATGTTTAACCTTTCTCAAATAAAGCAAGAGTGTCACTAATAATTTGGAGATCTACAAGAGCTTTATTTAGGATAATGACATTTCACTAGGATCATGTAGTACAACATGACAAAGCAAGATAATCTGACGTAATAATATTTAAGAGCAGGAAAGCAAGAAAACCAAATAAGTATATAAAATCAAGAGACACAATGGCTATTTTCACCATATATGCCTCTAAAGTAAAGGAAGAGTATGATCACTTGCACAATATACCATTACAGCTTGAGAATTTTGTATGCTATGGACATTTGAAAAGCAACCTATGCCAAATCTTATCAATAACATGAGAATTTAGTATGCCAAATCTTGTGCACTACCAGTTTATTGGACAAAATGGGACAGATTTTAAAAATTTCCCGATATGCTTAGCTACTCGAAGGCACAGATGCTCTACTAACAACTAAAATATCATTCAACTTTTGCTAAAGCTAAAATGCAACCCATGCCACTTCATAGAAAGTAGTTAAACCATATCTTAAATTGCTTCACTTGTGCACGCAGGTAGTATATGCATAAAACTAATGTTATTCATTTAGGATATAAAAAACTTATTCAAGAATAAATATATACTACCTGAAATATTCTCACAGAACATTGATTACCTCAGGAAAGCACTACCTTTCACGAACTTTACTTTTGGGGATGACAATCCAAAAATTAAATGCATCAATGCATTTTCCATTGGGTTCAACCTATGTGGAAGCTGCAACAGCGACACATAGGGTCTCTCCAGGTCATGAGGGCATGCTAGGTCCAGAATAGATATTCTCCTGATCAAATTTCCTATCCCTACAAAAATTAATACAACTAATTCAATTAGAACCAACCCTGTATAGTTTACATACCAAAAATATTTGGAAGAATGTAACAGAAAACTATAAGTATCCTTTAGAAACCTTAAAAACAGGGGCAATCAATACCTTCACCATTTTACGCCACATGCCTTTTGTTGTTATACTACTTTCCTTCGGACAACCCAAAATGTGGAAAAACAGAGGAAAAGTGAAAGAGAGAAAAGAATAAAAGAAGAATGTTGAAGAAGGAGACTTTAAAATTTTGCCCTAACATGACCAACAAAATGCAGTTTCAAGGACTTTTTTGTAATTTCCTTTGATTCATGGACTAAAGTACCAGCACATTATTCTTGAATGGACCAAGTTGGTAGTTACTCTATGACATGGCATCTCCATTTATTACTTCCACAACATTTCCCTCTTATATCTTGCTAAAACAATAATATAGTTGAATCTATCTTACTCCTGCTTAAGTGAATGACCTTTGGATAACGTAATAAAAAACTATTAACATTTCATCTGATTTGATATTGGAAACACTTAATAGGCAGCGTGTTTGCCAAGAAAGATGGATAATAATCATGTAACGGCAACAAATTTATCATGGTAATTGGCAACAACCAAATCATAAAATTTTAATAACATGAATTGAGCAAAACTTTCCAAGAACTTCTTTGACACAAAAGAAACATGCATTTACCAAACATTTAGCCAAACCCATATTTAGCATGAGTATGAATTAAGTAGTGTATCTCACCAGGTTTTATCATTTGTTCAGATCTCCAGCAAACATTTCTTGAAGTAGTTCCCCTGCTTTACCATTTGTTATTTCCATAAGAAAGCCCACTACTTCATGGAACAAACCTTCTAACCAGACCCCATTGGTAATGGTGTCATATGTGACAACTTTCACAACAGAAAGTTCAAACAAGAATGCTGAAAAATCTCTAGTGCAATCCTCAGTCTTTGATTTATGTAAAAACTATAAATTAGGCAATGGGAACCTATCAAAACAAATTATTTTTTGCACCACTAAATTAAAATAGCCACCTTGTCAAGATACTGGCTATTGCAAAAAGAAGCATCTAACAATATTAGTAACTTGTACGTGATAGATGATCATCCATTATCCTGTATATCACCAGTGAGCTCCCATGCAGATGAGATTCTCATAGATTCCTAAGCCAATTATAGCAAAAATATGAGTTAATATATCAAGAACCAAACTGTTGCAAGAGTATATCTGAAGAGATTTAAGGGGCATCATTCATCCTTTTAACCTTGCAAAATTCATCGATCAAGATGCAATGACTAAAACCACAAGAAGCCAATCCCCAATCAAACATTAGGTTTAATATACAACATGTTGTATTTTGCAAAAAGCATCTAACAATATATTATAAGTTATAACATTAACTGGTGGACCACCATCATGCATCAGTTTGAAAAGCTCCCATGCATGAGAAACTCTCCCTGATTTACACAGGCCATCTATGAGAGAATTATAAGTTACAGAGTCAGGAACCAAATTTCTGTGATGCATTTCTTTGAAAAGGTTCATGGCTTCATCAATCCTCTTACTCTTGCAATACCCATTAATCAATATGTTATAACTCGAAACATTTGGAGTCAATCCCTTTTGAAACATTAGGTTAAATAATTCAATTGCCTTGTCAATATGCTGGATTTTGCAAAGAGCATCTAACATGATATTGTAAGTGATAACATTAGGGGATGGACCACCATCATGAATAGCACTAAAAAGTTCCCATGCATAAGAGAATCTCCCTGATTTGCACAAACCATCAATAAGAGAACTGTATGTTACAATATTAGGAACCAAATTTGTGTAATGCATTTTATTGAAGAGGCTCAAAGCTTCATCAATCCTTTTACTCTTGCAATACCCAATAATCAAGATGTTATAACTCCAAACATCAGGTATAATACCCCAGTCCACAAATGTATCAAACAACTTTCTTGCCTCATCCACAATATTGAGCAAGCAATATCCACTCATCAAAGTATTGAAAGTAACTACATCTGGTCGCTGACCTCTGTAAATCATCAAATTACACATATCACGAGCTTCTACAAGCATTCTTTTTTTACATAATGCATCAATTAATATATTGTATGTATAAACATTTGGGTTGACCTTTTTATCAACCATATCACATAGCAGCCGAGTAATCTCTCCCCACTGCCCCAAACTACAAAAACCATGAATTAGACAAGTGTAAGTAAAAATATCAGGATCTATTCCCCGGCCAACGATCTCCAAATATAAACCATGCGCATCAGTTACAAGTCCATCTTTGCACAAACCATCAATGATCATGTTGTAGATAACTACATTAGGCTTAACCACTTGCCCTTCCATCTTTTGCAGCAACTCAAAGGCATCCCTTGTCAGTCCTATTTTACACAACCCATTGATCAAGGTCCCATAACTAACTTCATCCAACCGAAACCCTTGTGCCACCACACTGTCATGAAAGTCCAATGCTTTCCTAACCTCGCCATTGTTACTAAGCCCTTTCATGAGTGTGGTGAAGGTTATGGCATTGGGCTGATAGCCCCTCTTGAGAACCACACCCAACACAGAAAAAGCAAAACCCATGTGACCCAAGTGGCAGTAACAATTGATCAAAATACTCAAAGTGACTAGAGAAGGGGTGATTCCTCTCAAACCCATTTGTTTAGAAAGTGAAATAGCAGTTGGGTAATGCTTCATTTTCACTATTGACCCTAAAATCATGTTAAATTCTACAATAGATGGAAGAGGGTGCATAGTGATCAAGCGCGTGAATAAGGCCACGGCATCATTCATGGCATAAGACCCAGAATTTGTTTTTGCATTTTGTTTTGGGGAATCAGAGAAGAGCCTCAGAAAGACAATACATTTGGGAATGGCATACCTTAACCTTGTTGTCGTGACAGTGTGCGACATGGAAACCTTCTTTCCAACGATGAAGAAGATTGGATTTCTTCGGTGCTTCCATTCAATGCCTCTTCGCAGACTTTGAACGAAGAATGGGTTCGTGTGAATTTTGCAAACCTTGTTATGGTATTGATTTTTTTTTTTCTTCTTAAATACAGTTTTATTTTTCTTCTCTTTTTAAATCCAGTTTTCACACTGTAGTTACTAGTTTCGGTACTTGTAATTCTGGTCTCTAAAAAAAACAAATTATTACAATTTTTGTCTTCTAATTTTTAAAATTAAACAATTTACATCTCATTTAAAATTAAATAAAAGATATCATGAGTGCATTTCTTAAGAGATCTTGTATGGCACGCATCTAACAATAGCGGATTTATTTGGATTTGAGAAAAAAAAATGGAATTCAAACTAATTAATTGGTTTATTTTAGATTTTTTTTTCTAATTCGAACTAAACTAATGTGATGTTAATTGAACAGGTTAATTTAGTTTTATTATCATATATCAAATGAAAAAAAAATTGCTTTAGAAAATTATAAATAAGTATAATTTTGTCTCAAAATTAATTGAAAATATTGTCATAAACAAATATAAATTCCATATTTAAATGTAATTAATTTAGACTAATTAAATAAAGTATAAATTATAAAAACAAATAATAGTTAAATAATTAATTAAATCATACTATTTTATTCATTATACTTGTAAGAGTTTTGTCATATGAGAACTACAAATAAATCTTCTCAACATAACTCTTACATTTATTTTGCAAAGGACATTGCCTTTTTTCTCTTTCTCTAATCATCATTCAAATAAGTAATAGACGCCAAGGTAACAACAAATTGATGGAAGTCAAAGTATTATTAAAGCTTGTATGAAATCATCATTAGATATATGTAAATATTGAAGAAATGACAATTGCATAAATGATGAATAATATTGGAATTTATATTTATGGTAGGACAGGATTTTGGTTTGACAACTTTCCAAAACCCATAAGACTAGTTTGGTGAATAACTCCTCCATAAAACTGTTTAAATTAATTGTGATAGAGTTTTGCATTTCATAAAAAGAAATATCTTCCTCCATCTCCCAAAAACGGCCCCATGAAGTTGAGGAGCTCTTCATCTGTGGCGAACCTTAACATGATCTTTTGTATCATTCAATTTTGACCGATATATATATATATATATATATATATATAACCTACATACTTTTCAAATAATTTATTTATATTTATATGTTTTCCGCAAATAGAAAGAGTTCCGCAAGGATTATCTTTTATTAAAATATAGTAGAACCGTGAGTGGATAACATTGCAGTATACTCATAACTCTCTAACCTTGGAAACAATCCAAACATATTCATATGATATCCACTAACAACTACCAACAGTATTAAATTGCTTTTCCAACAAAAAATTGACCTTCTAGATAATAAATATCCACTATTCCACCCCCTCACATCAAAATTCTAAACATGTTTTGCTGGTATAAAAGATATCCACTAAAGTTGCTTGAAAATTGAGAATGAAGAAAAGATTGGGAAGACAATGCTCCAAGGAAAGAGATGAACTTTTCTGTTAATTTCAACTATAGAAGGAAACAGGCATTGGCTTTGCTATCTCCGCTTGATTTTCTGTCTTATCCTCTTAAAAGCCATAAATGTAACTGCTGCAGAAAGAGAATACCTGACCCATATACAAATGAAAAACTGTTAGAAAGATGCTTGGAACCTCATCATCCGTTATTAGAGTCTGGTTGAATAAACTTTTGAAGAAGTATTTTTAGGGGGTAAAAAAACAGAAGGAAGAAAATAGAAACAAATTTCTCAATAAACTAAAATTGGTTTATGCACAAGTTAAAAATAAGATTTTGAAAAAATTGGTAGAAAAAACTTTTATAAATTAGCTTGTGCAAAAACTAATTTTAACTTATAGAGAAACTTATTTCATTTTTTCTTCTTAATTTTTCTCTCTTAAAAGTATTTCTAAAGAAATTTATCTTAGTTCAATAGAAAGATACTTTCTTTCATTGCCTTCACAATGAAAACATCATTTTTAATGATAACTTTAATTTCCACAAGTAAATCCTCCGTTATAAGTAGGTGGACTTAGAAAAAAGGCCTCCAGAAAAATAGAAGAATACAATTACACAATGAAGACTAACATGGAGGGAAAAGTAAGTTGAATACCATGTGAATGTGTAGTTTAGGTGGTCCCCGGGCATGACAGAACTTCGAATCAAGGTATTCACATCCTTGGGCACAGGGTAAGGATTACTTGGATTGACATTTTCGTTAGTATCTTCAATGTAGATAGTATTTTCTGGAAGGCCGCAAGCACGAGCAATGCCGGGAACATCAATATAGAACCACTGGGAAGATCCGGGATCATTTGCTGGAACAAATATGCTTGGTTTCTCACTTCCACGAACCACGCCAACAACTTCTACAGGTGTAACAGGTGGGACCTGATCCTAAAGTTGCACAAAATAAGTTTTAAGTTTGAATTTACAATTCTTCTGGATTAAACAAGATATGGGAAAATGATGGAGAGGCAACCTCAATATTAACAGAAGGCTTTTTAGACCAAATTCTCCACCAAGATCTAGTTCCATCAGCTTGAGAAGGAGAAGGAAGTGCATCTGTCAAATTTTCATCCTGTGAAGCCTCTAAAAATTTGTCTTTCCAACTGCGTGGAACCCACCCTCTGTTGACTAAAATTGGAAAAGCCACACTGGAGGAAACAATACACAACATAAAAATTAAAGAAACTCAGAACAAATAATCCAATTTACTCATTAAACCAGTCGCAGGGAAGTGCTCAAAGGTAGCAATTGCTTGCTTATGATAAAGAAAATAAGTAATAACTATAGTTGGTAGTGTGATATAGACATGTTAACTGAGAAACATTGGGACTTAGAAGTCTATGAAATGATGCAAATAAATCCATTATAATCGAAGCCCTAAAAGCTAAGCAATGTTTAGCCAGGCACGGTAGACACGTTGCACCCAACAATAAGTTAATAATCTTTCACCAAAAGGAAAATCTTGAAGTTTAGTTAGGACAAATGAAGACCTGAATGAAAATAATAAAAATCTATTATAACTTATAAGAGAAAGTTGGCATGTAATACATGGTGTAACAACCATCCATTTTAGAAAATCAAGGCAATTATAGCAGTTGATTAGAAAATAAATAGTTGAAATTATGATAAAATACACACCCCTCTTAACAAGAAATAATCAAGGTATTAAAGTCTCAATTATTAATTTTCTAATCAATGGCTATAAATGCACTTTATCCACCAGACTGCATCATCCTTACTTCAGGGAGCCAAGTCCTTAGAATAAATAGTACTATTGAATATTATGAGCAACGTTTTCAATATCAATTGAATTTATTTTAACAAAAAATTATCCTTTAATCAAATGATGTTAAAAACAGGAAGTTTAAATCAGCAAAAATATCAATCCACTATCTGTAAATAGTCTTACAGTACAAGTGAACAATGCAAAGCCACCTATTCAAAAGGCTTACTGAAAGTCAAAGCCTTAATTACTCTAATGAAGCAGTACCTTCTACTTTAGTGTTGCACTGTATAGAGTTTCCAATTACATTTGACGAAATGTAAGCTCTAATAATAAACAAATCAGGTACCGAAAGAGATTAAAGTTTCTGGTGACTTAATGCATTACTTTCATTGACAAAGCTATTAATATTATGTTGTACCTGTCAGGATAATTGGGAACTGGCATAAGAGGTGTTATAAGATAGTAGCCATTTTCAGTGACTCCTGAAATACTTCTTGAGCGTGGTCCCACATAGATAGAATTTTTATCATCAAAATATCCCTTGCACGCCACCTTTCTAAATTCCAAAGAATCTAATTCCTCATTTGATGAATAATCACTACTGAATTTTAATGGTTCCATTTGCAACCTCTTCTCTCGATATTCCAACATTTTAATCTGTAACATTGAAAGACAGCAGGAA